AAAAAGTTAATAGAAATCATCACATGCTCCCCCCTTTAATGTTTCACGTGTGTGCATATATATAGACACGACTCCCAACAGAAGAACATCATAATATACTACCATGCATATTAAGCACACAAGCACCTCAAAAGCAAAAAAGTGACGCTTAACTAGAACAATCAATCCAGGAGAGAACAAAAGCCAGAGACATAAAAAATACCACCTAGTACCCTAGTCCTAGCCCAACACATAATCCAACAAAAAAGTGTCGTAAACATCATCTATGTCCTTAGGGTAGGTCTCCGGGTATATGAGACTTTGACTGGGTCGTCACATCGGCTCCATCTTAAAGATTTAAAAGATCTAAATGGTGTCACCCAAGACGAATTTTGAAAAGAGTTGGCCTTACATATAACCTATTTTGCTACATGCATAATTTTAAAATTATAAGGGATAAAATATATTTGTTTAGTTTTAAAATAAGGGTCATTAAATGTGAATCTGTAACATGTAAGGTGACACGAGTTAGATCCCTTGGATTTTTAGCACGATCATACTCATGTCAATCTCGATGTTTTAACTCGCATTGCTCATCGGGATCAACCTGACAAGCAATGCTCGTTTAGGCAATGCACCAACACAGGTTCACTCACTTATCAAGCCTGACATGCTATCCAGACACACATACAAATGTAATGCAAACAATCACATGATAGAAGTTGTGATGAGTGTGTTATGGAGGTAGTAAGTCAGAAGCGCGCGTGCTGTGGAGGTAGCAACCCAAAAGAATGGGTGTGTTGTGGAGGCAGTGACCTGCAGGATGAGTGTATCATGGATGCAGTGACTAAAAGGGTGGACGTGTCATGTAGGCAGTGGCCTAAATGATGTGTGTGTCATGGAGGCAATTACCAGCAATTGAGTGGGCATGTCGTAGAGGCAGCGACTCAAAGGATGAATGTGTCGTGGAGGCAGCGACCCGAAAGGGTGAGCGTGTGGAGGCAGTGGCTCAAATATGGGTGTGTCATGTAGGTAGTGAGCTGAAAGGGTGGGCTTGTCATGGTGGCATTGGCTAGAAAGCTGGGTGTGCCATGGAGCCACCGGTCGGACCAAAGTGATCGGTCGGTAGGGCCGAGGCGGCTGATTGAGCCAAAGTGTAATGACGACCTGGTCGGGGTAGTTAATCGAGGCAAGGCGTAATGCCAACCAAGCAGGGGCGACCGGTCAAGGCAAGGTTTAGTGCCGACTGGGTTGGGGTGGCTGATCGAGGTAAAAGGTAATGAGTGACATGCAATTTATAAATCACACACATGATTGACCAATTAATAGGCATTTGGTCGGGCATATTAGGATTGACCGGCCAATTTACCTAGCGTGAGTGACCAAACCCACAAGCATGCAAGCATACAATGCAATGTGCAAGATGCAAT